GATGGAGTCTCCCTCTGTCACCCAGAGTGGAGTGCAGTGGTGCAATCTCAGGTCACTGCAACCTCTGTGTCCTGGGTTCAAGTGATCCTCCCACCTCAGCTTCCCAAGTAGCTGGGACTACAGGCACGCGCCATCACACCCAGTTAATTTCTGTAGTTCTAGTAGAGACGGGGTTTCACCACGTTGGCCGGGCTGCTTTCGAACTCCTAACCTCAAGTGATCTGCCTGACTTGGCCTCCAAAAGTGCTGGGATTACAGGCATGAGTCATCATGCCCAGCTAGAGTAGACCTTTTGTCGGATGTCACAACAAGGGGCTCCCACCAAAAACCCAAACTGCTCAGAAAAAGGACCCTGTTGGGTGGGGTGGCAGAAAGAAGGCTTCCCAGGGGAGGTGGGCTGTGAGTAGGGTCTTGAAGGGGATCAAAACCTGTTTCAAGAGAGGCTCCAGGTTAGCAGGAGGGTGGTTCGCGGACAGTCTGGCTGTAGTATAGGGGTCAGGGATGGGGTGGGGGGACAGAGAATACAAGACAGAGCTAGAGCCAGGCACAGCGAGCCTCATTGCCATGTGCACCATTAATTTTCTGTTTCCATAGTTCCTTTCTCCCTTACAGTTCTTTCACTCTTACATCTAGAGCAGTGCTGTCCAGCAGAAATAAGTGAGTTAGCCACATATGTGATTTTGATTTTCCTAGTAGCCACAGTAAAAAAGGGGAAGGAAACAGGTGAAATTCATTCTAATAACATATTTTCTCTCATATTTCCAAAATACTATCATTTCAACATGTAATCAATAAAATAATTACGGATGAGCTATTTTACGTTCCTTTTTCGGGCTCAGTCTTTAACACTGCAGGGTATGTTTTATATTTCTAGTACATCTCAGTTTGGACGAGGGCACAGGCACCTGCGGCCGCTGTCTGGATCTAGATCCTCAGGCCACAGCTGATTGCCCCTGGGAAGGGCAGATACAAAACACCCAGAAGAAGGCCATCACATATGGCTTTTAAGCTCCTGAAGAGGCTTAGGTAGATCCATGGCAGAATCAATAGTTTTGAAAGTCCTGACTTAAACCAGGAGCCGGAGACCAGTTCATGCCATAAACTAAAGCTCTGGGGAAAATGGGGACAGGCAGTAAGAACAGTCCCCTCCCAGCACCCCACATCTTCCATTAAAAAAAGCTGAAAGACCTGTGTGAGAGGAGAAATGGAGAAGGTACTCGATGTAGGGGTTGGTAAGAATTTGAGAAGGGGGCTCCCAGAGAGGTGACAGGACAGCCAGATAAATTGGTGGTGGTGGGGGGTGGCACTGTCTCATCTCCCCCAGGGCATCTAGCACCCTGGGGTCTCTGGAGAGAGCCGATGGCTGAGTGAGGAGCCCAGGGAGGTAAGTGTGAGGGTGGCCCACAGGCCTGCATTCCAGCAGGTGCACAGAGAGGGTGCAGAAAGGGCTGAGAGAGCAGAGCCCATGGGATGAGGCCAGGAATGCTGTTATAAGCAAGGGTGGAACCCAAGATGGCTTTGTGCACAGCAAAGAAACTGAGGCTGAGCCCTAGCCTGGGGTGGGACGGGGAGCAGGGGAGGGTGATGGCTGCACCTTGGCAGAAGCCAGCAAAGACAGGAGGTCGCGTGAGGCCGAGAAAGATGTCCAGGATTAGGTCTCCTGCAGGCAAGGTATGAAAATACAAGAGGCTGGGTGTGGTGGCTCATGCCTGTAATCCACCACTTTGGGAGGATCACTTGAGCCCAGGAGCTGAGACCAGCCTGGACAACATGGCGAAACTGTGTCTCTACAAAAACAAACAAACAAACAAACAAAAAAACACAAAAAATTAGCTGGGCATGGTAGTGCATGCTTCTTGTCCTAGCTACTTGGCAAGCTGAGGTGGTTGCGCCCAGGATGAGGAGGTTGCAGTGAACTGAGATCACATCACTGCACCCCAGCCTGGACAATACAATGAGACTGTCTCAAAACAAAAACAAAACCAAAAAAACAAAACTAAATAAAAACCACCAAGAGCCGGCATTTTTATTGGCTGAATCTGAGAACCCTGTCTTGCCAGGATCTGCCCGCCCGGGATGCTGTCATTGCTGGCCCTGACTTCAGATGGGTCCTCACCCTGAAGCACTTGCCCATCTTGGAGGGGCCACATCTGGGTCTCCTCCTGGGTCTCACTACAGGCCCCACCAGACTCCAGACCCTGATACGGGGTCTCACTGGCAAATTTAGTCTAAGCCTCCTCCCTGCTGGGCATGACCACCTGGCCATGGATCTTCTTGTGCAATTTGTGATGGTACAATCCACGGTTGCTCCAGTCCTCACCTGGGAGCGGACAAGGCACTACTCCTCGGAGCCCTTGTCTCCTCATTGGTAAAGTGGAGAGAGGGACCCTCATCTCAATCACAGGTGTGGGTGCCTCAAAGCAAAGAATGCAGGTGACAGCCCCAGTGCCAGTGCCTAAAATTAGCAGCTCTAGGAAAGTGCTCACTGCACTGGCCAGGAGGTCATGGACACAAGAGGAGCACATCTCCAGGGACCCGGCTGCACACAGACAAACCGTCCCCACAGCCCTGGCTCTACAGGCAAGTTTTCAGATGCCTGACATTTTTCCATTATTCATTCATTTTTTGTTCTAAAACCCACCCACCTATAATCCTCATTTAAAACACAGTTAAGCTATTCGTACACACAGACTTAAACTGGAAAAGGCAACACTACAGAGACAGAAAATAAACCAGTGGTTGCCAGGGACTGAGGCTGGTGAATATGAAGAGCACAAGGGAATGAGTATTTTGAGTAACGGGATTGCTCTGTGTCTTGACTATGGTAGCAGCTGCATCACTGCATGCATGTGTCAAAACTCGTAGAACTATGTACCACAAAGGGTGAAATTTACTGTATGTATGTCCATTATACCTTAATAAAAACATTTTTAAAATAATGAGTATAGCTGAACAACAACAACAAAACCCCACAATTATGGACACATTTAATCAATGGTGTTCGACATCAGAAGAGTGGTTACCTCTAAGGATAGGGGATAGCCTTGGCCAAGAAGAGGCACAAGAGAACCATCTGGAATTTTGGAGACATCTGATTGCTAGATCTGGGTAGTGGGTACATGGGTGTACATATATGTGTAAAAATTCATTGATCTGTACCCTTTTTATCAACACATATTCTCCTAGGTATGTTACATCACAACAGGAAAGTAAAAAGAACAATTATTTCTTTTTCTAAAAAAGGAATTTTTGCTGGGCCTGATGGCTCACACCT